TACGTGACACTCCGATCCCCTACTACTATGTGTCAGAACGTGACACTCCGATCCCCTAAATCTTCGTGTCGGTTCGTGACACCCGATCCCCTAAATCTACGTGTCAGTTCGTGACACCCGATCCCCTAAATCTACGTGTTGGTTCGTGACACCCGATCCCCTAAATCTACGTGTCGATTCGTGACACCCGATCCCCTAATTCTACGTGTCGGTTCGTGACACCCGATCCCCTAATCTCATTACTTTAGTTCATCAAGCCTTCTCCCTTACCAAGGCATCATCATTAAAAAGAGATTAGGTTTTTATCAAGATTCGAGATTCAATAACTTCATCATGCTTAATATAATCACAATTATATAATCACGTTTATGCAAGCATACAATTAAGCACATAGCAGGGTTTACAATACTATCAATACATATCATTCGCTATTAAGAGTTTACTACGAATAGCATGAAAACCATAACCTACCTCCACCGAAGATTGGTGATCAAGCAAGCAATTCCCAAGCTTTGTTTCTCTTCGTTTCTCCTCTTTCTCGTTCGACTTTCTCCCTCTTTCTCTTGTTCTTTCTATTTTCTTTATTCAAACCCTCTTTCTTTTACCCTAATTAGTATATAATTAAGAATAAAGATGGCAATAATAACCCACTAATTAACTTAAGGTTACCTCTTTTAACCCCCAAGTAATTAGACTTATTAGAATTAACCCACTAACTTTATAATTAAAGCAGGAATAGTCAAAAACGTCCCTTAAAACGTATAAAGAAATCTGACCCAGACTGGGATTGCGCAACCTGCGACGGTCCATCGTGCCTGCGACGGTCCGTCCTGCAGGTCGTCGCAAGGTCCAGAGAGTGGATTTCCACTGAAGGCTCTGTGATGGTCCGTCACACCTGTAACGGTCCGTCCTGCCATTTCGTACGAAGTTCAGAGAGTCGATTTCAGTATCCAATTTTCAGATTTTTTAAGTGTTCTGAAACGAGACCCTGCGACGGACCGTCGTGCCCATGACGGTCCATCGTGGTGTCCGTCGTCTCAGCCAGTTTTCCAGAAATAAAATCTGCTGCTCAAAACGACTAAACAGGTCGTTACAATTGCCCTCGAGGGCCAACTAAACATACATTTCCCATTGTTTTGCCACGAAACAAATCTCAAACATACATACATACATCCATCTACCAATATTTACCTTATCAATGAGGAAAAAATGTCAAGTTAATACCACTATAGTAATTTCATTCAGGAGAAACCTTTCAGCATAGAAGATTCATCATTTGCATAAATGTGATCTTGTTCGTGATTTTCTTCCTCTCTTGTTCGTGATGATGAGCGTTGTGTTCAGAATATCATGTTTGGTGTAGCTCTGTTCTACTAGTGTGTAGTCGGTCTATAGTAGTGTGGTGTAGCCATTTGTATTTTGATGTAATGTTAGCAATCTGCAGGTTACAACTAATGTAATGTCATGGTGTTTTTGTTGTGGAAAATTGTTAGTAATCGTGTTAATCTCTAGATTGTAATGGTAAAGTTCTTTGCAATCTGCATTTTACTGCATTTTACAGCAATCCACATTTTAATGTTAAACTGCAATTGTTTACAACAACATGCAATCTGCAATTTTTAACAGCAAAATGCAGTGTGCAAATTTTTATAAAAATCTGCAATCTGCAAATTTTTATAGCTATTACACATTAATTTGTGATCTGTAAATTTTTACAACAAAATAGAATTAGTAAATTTTTATATCAATCTGCATATTTTTACAGCAAAATGCAATCTGTGATTTTTAAAACAATTTGCAATTTGTAAATTTTTAGAGGAATTTACAATTTGCAAATTTTATAGCAAAAAGTGCAATCTGCAAAATTTTACAACTCAATCTAGTTAAAAGGAAATATCATCAGGGATTCACAACTCACAAGATCTGTTAAGACTGCCATCAAGCAACATACATAATGCAACTGAAAAACAAAAAACAACAACTACACAGATAAGTGATAATGACATTGTCATATATTTTGAACCCACAAAAACTTACAGACACTTGTTTAAAAGCAGGTCAAACTGACTTAAAAGCTGGTTTTTGACTTATTTAGCTGTTTGGCAATACTTAAAATAAGTTATTTTAAGTTTAAAAAAAACTTATTTTAAGCCAAAAGTTAAAAGCTGAGGTAGGGGTGCTTTTTTCCCCCAGCTTATAAGCTGTTTTAAGTTGACCACATTTTTACCTTTTTGCCCTTAATATTTTTATACAATCTCCAAATTACTCACATAACCCTAACATCTCTTTCTTCTATTTTTCCCTTTTCAAGTATGGATGATAGACAATTACTATTATTAATGAATGAAAATAAAATAAATCTTAAATCTTTCAAGTGATCTATTCAAATTATATATTATTAAAATATAAAATAAGTTGCACATATAACTTAAATAAAAATTTATATTCCTCTTATAAATAATTTGTGATAATAAAGAAATATGTGAATGATAGACAATTATTATTACCTATGGATGAAACTAAAATAAAATCTTAAATCGTTCTTTAATATATTCAAATTATATATCTTTAAAATCTATAATAAGTTTATATTCCTCTTATAAATAATTTATGATGAGAAAAAAATATGTGAATGATAGCAAAATATAATTATTTATGGCTGTAAAATATAAATTAATTAACTTTTATTACGTTAACAACTTTTAAGGGTATTTCAGATATTTTGATTTAAAAAGCTGTTTATCAGCACTTATTTGCCAAACACATCAACAACTTTTTTTTAACTTCAGCACTTTTATCCAAACGCATAACTGCTTATTTTAAAAATAAGTTTCAGCACTTTCAGTAGTACTTTTTAAAAGCTGCTTTTATTAAGCCCATCCAAACGGGGCCATAGTAACATCAAAAAAAGTCAAAATATTAAAGTTTCATCATGCCATAACAAAACACCAGAAAACAAAAAACAACTTCATAATGCAACTACTTCTTCCCACCTCTCTTTGCCTTCAATTTGCCAATTCTTTTCTCCTTTTCAATTGTCAAATGATCTAAAGTCGTAGCTTCTTTTCCTTTCCATGCCAATTTTCTTGGTGAGTATGGTAGATTAGTTGGAATACTCCCACCATTATCATCTCCTTTGAAGTCAATCCTTCTGGTACCAGTTGGTCGAATCTGCATCTTTTTAGCTTGAAGCCTAGTTCTAGCTTCAGAAATTGCCTTTGGCCTTAGAATTGTTTGATTGTCTTCACTTTCATGCTCATCTCCATCCTCATCAGCAACTGCACTTGAAGGTTCAACATGTTGCCAATCCTCAAATTCATCAACAATTATTTTTCTTTTTGACTTTGAAGGTCCAGTAGGGTTCTTTTCAATTTTCTTTGATTTTGAAGGACCATCAGGTTGGCTACTCTGTTGACTTGAAGAAGCCAGATTCTTTTTGAATGGCTTGGGGTGTTGACACTGGAATATCTTGGTCTAGTTGTTTTGATCTTTGAAGCTATAAAAATTACAAAATTATTTAGATATTGAATTAACTAGTGTAATTATTGACCAAGTAAAGAATACCATAGGACATCTTCTTTGGTTGTGACATGTTGCACTACAATGTCCGTACATCATTTTTAGTCCTTTTCTTGAAGCAGACCACACCCCTTCCCTTTTCCTTGCCTCATCTTTTTCTCTTTTTCTCTTAAGTTTTGGCCTACCTACCAATTTATGTATTTTTGGTGGCTCCATAGCATGAGAAGGATCAACTTTCCAAAACTTGTCACCTCTAACAGGTTGTATTTTATGCATGTATATCAACATGTAAGCTTCTCTGGAATACCATCAACTCAATTGATCTAGTAGCTCTTGATTGTCGTAAAGATATGCTTTAATGGCATGAGGACATGGTATACCAGTCAAGGCTCATGTCCTACATGTACACTTCTTCCTATTAAGATTACCACATGTCTATCTTCGCACTCAACTACCTCATATCCTTGGTCTCCATTAGATTGAACTTGACAACATTGTGCAATGATATTGAAATCATTATACAACTCCATGGCATATGGACTAAATTCTCCATTCCAATTTCTACCCTCTTCTTCAAGTTTTTGCAACCTATTCATAACCTATATAACAATACAGAAGTAAGAACAACATTACCTATCAATGTAACAATCACATCAAGCTATATTCTGTAATTTCTATTAAAACACTAGATCTATCAATGGAAATAAATTTACACAGAATTGAACATTGCTCTTTAAGGCTTTAATCTCAAATGTAAAATTCAGTTCCTAATAAGTTGATTTTTTAAATATTAAAGAGATTCAAATAAAGAGAAACAAGGTCATATATCACAACAAAAATCAACATAAATTGAAAAGAATAAGAAAAAGTATAACTTTATGAGCTGAAAACTCAAAATCACCAAACTATAAAAATCTCAAACTCTAATTTTCAGTGTTATCCCACATTAATCTAACCTATAAAAAACCTATCAGTTATATTAAGGTAATATAAGTTATGATATTATAAACAGTAGCAACTCACCTTGATTCTAATATTTTCTAACATCTTGATTATATGTTTTTTCCCTTGCATTTATAATCCATTTGTTGATTGACTTTGTAAAATTATTCTCACATGAATGACTTTTGCAGACTGTGTCAAAATTAGCCTTGCACTAGTTTTGTGCAAGGTACCATACCAAATCTTTTGCAGCTTGTTTAGACACACCACCCATGACTTTCAATTGATCATGAAATTCTTTTTCATAGGTGCTCCAGGCACACCACCACAGTAACTTCTTCATTTGTACACTTTTTCAATCCTTACTCCAATTAGCTTCTATGTGTCTTGCACACCATCTATGATGTGCTTTAGGAAACAACTGACTAACAACATTTAGAAGCCCCTATAACAATAAAAATCATAACAAGTTAAAGTATTATTTGTATAAGAATTTAATTGAAATAAAAAACTTACTAAAATCAGAAACAACTACCTTGTGCATATCAGACATGAATGTTAATCCTTCATCATCTGCCAGGTCTAGAGAATTTCTCAGCAGCTCAATAAACCATTTCCATGTTCTAAGTGTCTCTCTGTCCACAACTGCCCAATCAAGTGGATAAAAGTGTTTCATTGAATCTTTTTCCATTGGAATCAATAAGATTCCCTTGCATTTTCCTTTTAAAAAGGTTCCATCTAGCCCTATAAAAGGCCTCAAACCTCCTTTCCATCCATTTTTAAAGCTTGAATGCATATATTCATTCTTAAGAATCTTCTTTTTCCTTGTTCCAAAGCCTCTCTAGATACATTTATGATAACATCAGTACCTGGGCTATTGTCCCTCAATTCTTGAGCATAACCCTCCAACTTATTGAATTCATCAATGTAGGTACCTTCCAATTTCTCTAACACGAGCCTTTTAACCCTCTTCATCTTGGAATAACTAACATTCAAATTAAAATTATCATCCAAATCTTGTCTCATATGATTAACACTGTACTTTGGATTATTCTGAAGTTTTTTCTTGAAGTAGTGTGTTAAAGCTTCTTGAGTGACTATTCTATTCTTAAAAGCATTTTCACAACATGAGTGTTTGAACATCGCCGCAGATCCAAGAACTGATGATGTTGGGGGAAATGTTTAGGGGTTTTTTAAAAAGAAATGTATAATGTATATTTTATTTGGATGGGTTGGGTATTTTGAAAGATGGTTGGGTGGATCCGGGTGGATAGGGTGGTTTGGGTAAAACTAATTAGATTTTAATTAATTAAATTTCTAACCAATTACAACATGCCACGTAATAAATGAAATAATTAAATATACTGACTAAGTAGTATGTTAGCCAAAAGGGCAAAATAGGTCCCTAAAGGTTAACCCCAAGGGTATTTTAAGGTCAAAATATAAACGAGAGATATTTTTGTACCAATTCTAATACTATAAGGGTATTTTAGACCCTTCTCCGTAAATAAATTTCATACCAGAATCATATGCATAAAGAAATAATTTTTTTTTAAAAAAAAGATCTTTCTAAATTGAATAATTGGTAAAATAGTTTAAATAAAATATTTACTCTAACAACTTTTTTGCCTTTTTTTGAAATTGAAATTTTTGAGTCATCTTTCATTGTTGCTCTTCTTTTAGAGGGTTTTGATGACCGGCCGCACTCGATATTTGTTGATTTTTGATTATTTTTTTAAATCTCACTTACAAAATTTGAGTTTGAATTCAAAGGGGGTTCAACCATTTTCTCTTTTCTCTTTTGTTCCTTTTGATTTGGAGGACTTGTAATTTTCTTTTCTTCTTTCTTTTATTGAATTTATTTTTTCTTTTGCGGGGTAACAACTTTTCTCGCCTAATTTGCATTCTTGTTGGTCAACGGCAATTAAGTTAATATGTTAAAAGTCGAAGTCTTGATTCAATAGTAGATCTCATTTCGACTAATCTAGTACTCTTTCAGGGAGTATTCTCAAGTTTCTTCTACATTAAATTTGAAGATTTGGCTTTTCTTTTGATTTACGGACGAATGAAGAGGTGAGAGAGAAATTTTATTTTTTGAACGTGGGGATGGTAGGATGCTGTTATGGTGTGTGAAAAAAATATGATCAACGTATGGGAGATTTAGAGTATAACGATAATCAAGAAACTCTAGCAATGTGAATCCCTAAATTTGTGTAACTGATAATTTATGTTTCAAAAAAGGAATTGCAATCAAATTAATTAACTTTTAACAATTAATAATATAAAAATAGAATAGAATTGGATATCATCTAACCATGTATTTCTCATTTTCCTTTCTTTCTCCCACTCTCCAAGGGTAAAATTTTATCTCCATTTTTTTGTGAAAAATATTTTAAATTACTTAAACTTTATTATTTAAAATGAATAAAAATTAAAAACAAAACTGAAAAAAAAATCCCACTACTCCACAAGTTTGATATAGTGTATCATTTTTTTTAAAAAAAAAATTATATTAAAATTGTTCAAAAAACATGCATTTTATAAGGTGAAAGCTTTCAATTTTTGTGGAAAGAGAAAGTTAATTACATTTACATAACATCTTTATTTAATAATTAAATAATAAATTACTGAATATGGTGATTAATGTGTTTGTTTTTTATTTCTTTTTTTATGAAAAATATTTTAAATTAATTAAACTTTATTGTTTAAAATGAATAAAGTTTAAAATAAAACTGAAAAAGAAATCTCACTTTTATGTATAGCTAAAAATTAGGATTTGATTAACTACTATATAATTCATTTTGAATTTTAAAAAGTTATTAAATAAATGACCATTGATGTATTAATTTTTAAAAGTTATAAAAAGCCCTAAATTGTCTATTACTTAAAAAAATGATACTTTAGAACTGCAGCAAAGTTTAAAGTGTTATAAATTAACTGACTAAGATTAATATACTCAAAGAAGAAAAATTGAGGAAGTAATATATTTCAAATATGTATAGTCGTATCTATATGTATAGTGGTTATTTATAGCCATGAGCTTAATGTACAAATGTATAACTTGGCCTTCTTATTGGCCAAGTGATGATATACTTCTAATAGGAGAGTTCCACATGGAATGCATAATTGGTTTGCACACCATTTCAGGTGATGCAACACTTTTAATGGTTGAGACCTACGTGGCATTCAAAAATACTTTAGAACACTCCCCCTGGATGTATGTAAATAAAGGTACATAGACATACATAATACGCATTACTTGTTGCCTCAACCTTTGTAGGAAAATTCGGTGGGACAAAACCTAAACTAAGGAAAAAAGAGTGCAGCGTGTATTTTACTCCCCCTGATAAAAATCATGATTCAAATGGTTAAGTCTTTGCATTCCAATTTTGTGAACCATCTTCTCAAGAGATAACGCCAGTAAAGATTTGGTAAATAGATCTGCTGGATTATCATTTGAACGGATTTGTTGCACATCAATATTACCATTCTTCTGGAGATCATGTGTGAAGAATAATTTTAGTGAAATGTGTTTCGTTCTATCTCCTTTTATGAAGCCTCCTCTTAATTGAGCTATGCATTCAGCATTGTCTTCAAAGAGCATCGTGGGTATCTTGACGTCACACTTCAAACTACATTATCTTTGATAAAATCTATTACTGATCATAACCATACACATTCTCTACTTGCTTCATGAGTGACTATTATCTCAGCATGATTTGAAGAAGTAGCGACAATAGACTGCTTCGTAGATCGCCATGATATAACAGTACCTCCGTATGTGAACAAATAGTATGTTTCTGATCGAGCTTTATGTGGGTCAGATAAATATCCTGCATCTGCATGAGCAACAAGATCTGCACTATCTTTGTTAGTATAAAACAGAACCATATCACTAGTCCCCTTTAGATATCACAATATATGTTTAACTCCATTCCAATGTCGTCATGTAGGGGAATAACTGTATCTTGCTAAAAAATTAACAAAAAATGCTATGTCGGGTCTTGTAGCATTAGCATGATACATAAGTGCCCCAATTGCACTAAGATAAGGTACTTCTGGACCAAGAGGTTCCTCATTCTCTTCTTGAGGTCGGAATGGATCCTTACTCACTTCAAGTGATCGGACAACCATTGGAGCACTTAATGGATGTGCTCTGTACATGTAAAATTGTTTCAAGATTTCTCAGTATAGGCAGATTGATGGATGAAGACCCCGTCTAATAAATGTTCTATTTGTAGTCCAAGACAAATTTTTGTCTTTTCAAGTCTTTCATCTCAAAATCTTCCTTTAGATATTCGATTGCCTTTTGTAATTCTTCTGGAGTCCCAATGAGATTTATATCATCAACATAAATAGCAAGAATAACAAATCCCGATGTTGTTTTCTTAATAAAAATACAGAACAAATGTCATCGTTTATATAATCTTGTTTTATCAAGTACTCACTAAGGCGATTAAACCATGTGCCACCCTGATTGTTTTAAGACATATAATGACTTTTGTAATCTGATTGAACACATATCCTGAGAATTTGAACTATATGCCTCAGTCATTTTGAGTCCTTCCGAAACTTTCATATAAATTTCATTATCAAGTGAACCGTAAAGGTAAGTTGTAACCACATCCATAAGATGAATTTCAAGGTTTTAATGTACACCTAAACCGATGAGATATCAAAAAGTTATTGCATCCATAACCAGTGAATATGTTTCTTCATAGTCGACACCAGGTCGTTGGGAGAATCCTTGTGCAACAAGGCGTGCCTTGTATCTTACAATCTAATTTCTCTCATTTTTTTCGTACAAAGACTCATTTATATCCAATTGATTTAATATCACTAAGTGTTGGACTACTGGTCTAAAAACCTCAAATTTAGCAAGTGAATTCAATTCTGATTGAATTGCCTCTTGCCATTTTGCCCAATCACATCTTTGTCCATATTCTTCGACAGATAGAGGTTTAAGATCCTTATTGTCTTGCATAATGTTAGGTGCAACATGATATGCGAAAATATTATCCGCTATGATTTTTGATCGATCTAAATTTATCCTATCTCATGTAGAACTTATTGAAAATTCTTCATTTACTTGAGTCTCGGGTTCATTGAATCTTC